TAATCATTATTTAATTTTAGATTACTGAACTGGAGATTCACTTCAGACACAAGCTCACTTTCCACATAATTTAGTCTCAGTAATTAGAGATGTACTTTACCCAGAGGTGGCTTGTTTAAAGTATGTTATCTAATTTCACAAGCCTTATGCCACGAAAGTTTCATGCGGAAATCTACAAACCAAACTTCAAACAAACAAACAAACAAACAAAAACTCCAAAGAAACTCAGGTTTACCACACTGCAAAGCTGTTTTTCCTTAAAAATAAAAAACTGAAAAAAAAAAAAAAAAATTCTTCAAACATCTACCCAACAAGTCAGATGTATCACAACAGCTAATATAAACTATTTCATTAACTCACACTATCTTTAGCAAAGTTGAAAGCTGTAAAGAACAAAAAATGCTCTTCTCACACAAATCATTTCATTTACAACTTGCTTTAACCAGGATGTAAGGTCTACAAGGAAATGTATGTGTCTGTTAGGATGCCCAGCAGGTATTTGCCACAGGATGTAACCAGCACTGAATCGTTCAGACACTTTAACAGACTTCTGTGACAGTGTTATCAGAGGAACAGAGTAAACAGCAGGCATGTAGGTTCATATCGCATATATTTACCCTGGATATCATACCATTCGAAAACTGCTCAATTCCAGCCTACTTCAGCCAAATTTGTGTAAATGTGTTGCTGAAACCAAACTATACTAGGAAATGCCACCTAGTCATTCAGCTAGCTACTGCCCATCTAGCTCAGCTTTAGGTCTGTATACAGTTAATGGCATCACTAGCTGCCACGCCATCTGGGCTGGCACATGGCCAGTTTTATGTCAAAACACATTTGCTGATTTTTGGAACAAAGGTTACCTTTCCACCACTTCCATTAGAGAGAAGGAAAACAGATGACCAGGCAAGTATTTTAAAAACATACACCATTTTTTGCAACTCTGTCTTCAAAATTGTCCAACAAAACCAATACATGCAATTGCTCAACTTTCAATTAAAGTCAGCTATACTCAAACCAATAGAGAACTACCTCTATAAATGCAGAAGATGTAGATTCATTTGAAGACTCCAGTGCCAGTACTTTTATGATCCAGTTTGACTTGCCACACAGAAGAAAGGCTACAGAACTCATCAACAGCATGTAAGATTTCAGCAAAGACTGACAAAGAAGAATAAGGACATGAAGCTACAGAGACATCAGGACACAACAGGTTTGCTGTAGGGAGTTTACTCAAAATAAATATAAGTAATTCTCAGCTGTCTGAATTTTCAACAAACAATATTTAATACTTTTCCGTGTGGTATCTCATTAAACACACAAAATCGGAGACTGGTAGAGGAACTGTGACAGCAGTAAAGATCCTGCCCAAAAGAGATGGTGACAGACAGCATAGAAAAAAAAAAAAGCTAGAGGCATTTTGGAAGTTACTAATGAAAACACTAAACAAAACCCAACGATCAGTCTTCTGCTTCATTTTTAACTGATTAATGGTCTGCATACCAGAAAAAGTAATTATAGCAGCTGATGACAAAGCTGGGAAGCAATCTGAACATGAAGGTGTATTGAGTTGTTATACAACAGGCGCCATGGCCTTAAAGACTGTAGTCATAAGAGTGGGATGAAAGTCACTAATATACAACGCAAAATTACATCTATAAAATAAACAAGCCCCAGCTAGACACTGGAGGATGATCAGTGCCTGGAGCAGAAGGGCCTGGATGCGTTAGCCATCCTAGCACAAAATCGCTGTGAGTCATTGCTGAGATGCAGCTGTGAAAAAACACACATGGAATCCTGGGATGTATCCAGAGAAACATTTTCAATAGAGACAGGACGTACAGGGAAGTACACAAGAGGCGCTGCTAAAATCCCGTCTGGATTACCGCACAAGTGAGGCTGCCCATGTTCAAAAAGAAGGCACTAGAAACACAGGAGGCTGAAGGAGGATTTCTGGCACTGGCAACACGCACAGCAGAGGGATGCAGGGGGATTTACAGGGGATGCAATTGCTGCCTGTAAGACTGTAAAGATAACCACTAGGAAGGGAAATAAACCATTTGAGCCAAAAAAAAAGCTACTGATAGCAGAACGAATACATATCAGTTGGCTGGGAGCAAGTTTAGGCTGGAGCCTATCAGAACAGCAAAGCTCTGGGAGAAGCTTTTGGTGACAACCTATGTGCTTAAGGAGGCCCTTGTTATGAGAAGGACATTATGACATACTACCTGCTTTCTATAGCTCCAACCATTTTTGTAGCTGTCCCACCTAAACATTCATTGAAGGGTCTATAAAACTATCACCAAATCCAGCTGGTTCAGTTCTCAGTGCAAGTGGAAGAAGGTGGTACATGATGTGTGAGTTACAGGGTGTGGGGAAGAGAAGCTGATTTATAGGGGAAAGTATAAATAGTTGCCATAATCTTCCTGCATACCTAAAAGGCAAACTAATATCTCCTAATTTAAAATAATAATGTTAGCCATTTCATTTACTTTAAAATCCTCATATGCAACTATGGCAATAAATAGTGTGCATTAAAAAAGCTCAGCAAGCCCTGAATGGTATCCCATCCTACTTCCCAATATCCCACAAGAAACAGATCTGTAGAACCGATGCAACAGAGCATGCCACAGTTCAACATATTGCATCACTAAAGCCAAGCTGCTCTTTGGAACAAACACATTCTCTGGTCTTGACACGTGCTTGAACACTGCCTTCATGGCCTATCAAAGGGATCTTCGCCTTTCCACTGCCAGGGTACAGCATCTCTCATGCAGACATTTTACTAAAACTGAGGTCAAAGTTCCCAGAATGAAACACTGCAACTGGTAGGAGAATAATTTCTGCTTCGATATTGAAGCACAGCAGCGTTACAGAAAAGAACGGGATTTGAAAGCATGTTTTGGTCTCACACTGTTTATTGTACTGGTGCCTGCGTAAGAGGTACTTGAGCCCTAAAGAAAGAGAGAGAAGCTCTTCCCACTTCGGATCCTCATCTTCCCCACTTTAAAAAAAAAAAAAAAAAAGAAAAGAAAGAAAAAAAGAAAAAAAACCCAAATCCAAACATATATGTATCTGACCATTAACCAGAAACTGCAAGTTGTATCAAATTGCTTTTCTGATGTCCCCTAAGATTGAGCAAACAGGTTTAGGCAGTACACTGAGGATAAGAGAGTCACATTTAAGTACACACATATTTTTCCATTTCAAAAAAAGTTCCCCAATGAAATATAAATGCAGGCACTTAAACACTTATGCAGTTTCTCTCTTGCATAGTGCCTTGCATTGAATCCAATATGATAACCTCCAAAACCATCTTTCCATTAGCTACTTTGATACCATAGCTTTGAAAATATTCCCAGTGCTCCAACATTTAGGACATACAAGACTCAAAAGTGGACACATAAAACTCTATCTTCAGCATCAATTCAGAAGGGGAACATTTAATTCCTTTCTCTCTTTTTTTTTTGTTTCTTTTTTTTTTGAAAATAATAATTTATTAAAACTACTGAAACCATCCATTTTCTGGTACGTTTTCTTCCTCATCACAGGAATATCAATATCTTTGAATCTTTTGATTATTTGCTTGACCCACAGCTCAGTCCATTCCCTAAACACCATCTTCCATATGATAATATCCCAATGTTGACAGAGGAAAGGCAGTCGGGGGCAGGGGGGGCGGGGGTGGAGTTTGATAATGTCTTTTCCATCACAAGTTAACTTTATTCCTAGATGGTAAAACCAGTTTCATGGCAAACCTCTCCCAATGTCTTATGATATCATACAGATATTAACGGAACGGCTTCAGGAAATTACTTTCTGCCACCATCCTACTCCTGTGACTATCATCTCTTAGAAAGAGAGCCCCTAAAAACTAAATGCTTCCCCTAATGAGAATTGGAAATGATTGACTCTGAAAGTTCTTTCAGAAAAAGAAGTCTTCACCCATAGTATACTAGGATTCTACTAATATAATTAATAAATTATGAAAGGTTTACAACAAGCTATCAGAAGTGTTTCCCCCACCACCAATGCATAACTGAACTGTGAACCTTTTTGTCATGACTGTTACAGGTGGCACAAACAGACTGAAAAGAGAGGAACTGGAATTATTAATGAAATGAAAATTAGGAGGATATGACAGAGCAAATACCAGTCATTGTGTTGACTGTAAATCCTTTTGTAAGACAACCATAGCCAGACTACTGACATAAATGGACCAATGACAGACAGACCTCCATTTTCAAGGTGGAAATTAGACTTCTACAGCAAACAAACAAAGCATTTAATTTTCCACTGCAACTTGCAACCAAACCTTTCCATTTCGAGCTTCTCTCTGTAAGATGGGGAACAGATAAGCAAGAATGATGTGAATGAATGTATCTGTGGCCTCATAACTCCACAAAGTTCTCTGTTCACTCATCAAGAGAGAGCTTGAGCACCAGCAGACGACCAGTTACATCTAATCCTGTCCAAAGT